CGCCCTGGGGTGGGAAGCCTGCATACAGTATAAGGGAGGGAAAGAGACTTACTTGCTGCTCCTCCCTTCTGCTCTTGTTGCTTTTGCTGTTTTCTGTCACCATATTCTGTTGCCCTGTGCCATGTGCCACTGTGCCTTGGAGCCAGCTGAGAATGGACTGAAACCTCCACAAACTGTAAGCTAAAGAAACCTTTCCTTCCTTAATTTGGGGTGTCAGGTATTTTGTCTCAGCATCGAGAGAAAAGTAACCCAGACACAGTGATCCATGCATCCCCACGTTTACAGCAGCACAGTTTATAATAGTTAAATCCTAGAAGTGGCCTGTATATCCCCCAACAGATGAGTGGATGAAGAAAGATGGTATTTACACAAAGGAGTACTTCTCTGCCACAAAGAAAGATAAACTTGAGTCTTGTAGAAAAACGGGTGTACTGTGAGACCATAAATCAGAAGCCCACACTTACATATCACACGGTTTCTCTTATATGAGAAACCCAAAGTATCGATAAAGGGCACAATAAAAGGCAACAGGAAGCAGGTAGATGGATCTTCCTTAGAGGGAGCGGGATCAAGTGATCACATAAGGGGTGAAAAAGGGATTCAGAGGTGCTAGGTACAGGCACCAGCTCCACACGGGGGATGTAAACCGGTATGTGCCACACCACTAATAAAAAAGAGGATCTATGGATACTTCGAGGTTCAGATGAAGAGAAAGAATAAGCACAGAGGGGAGAGGGAGAGGGAGAGGAAGGAGGAGGGGTGAAAGAGACAGACAGAGACAGGCAGACAGGCAGACAGGCAGACAGGCTGACAGGCTAGTGCCTCCTGGGGTTGAGGAGAGGAAGACGGCGTGGACACGGCGGCCGCAGCCTGCAGCAGCAAGGCGCAGCGCGCCCACCGTGCACGGACGGCCTCCAGCCAGGCTCCTGCGACCCAGGAACCCGCAGCGCCATGCCCCAGGCGCTCGCTGCTTTGGGCGAGGGACATGTGGGTGAGAGCGATCTTGTCCTCAACATTAATCCCTGCCCAAAAAGGCACGGACGGGGTGCCCCCGTCAGGCGGGTTCCTAAGTGTGGGGGTCCCTGGAGCTTGGCTGCGAGGGACACCAAGCGGCTGAGCCTTGGTCAGATGGAGCCGCAGAGGCAAAGGGCGGCAGGAGGAGGCCAGGCGCGAGGAAAGGGGCAGGTGGGTGGGCGGCGGGTGGGGGCGCGGCAGCTCCATTCTTGGAGCCAGCCCCAAGCAGGAGAGGAGGCGATGTGCGGGCGCTGGCCGACCTCGCCCTGCAGCAGGCGAGGTGCGAGGCGCGGCAGGAGCGCCTGGACTGCAGGCCTGGGCGGCAGGCGCGCTGCCCGCTCCTGAGAGGCGGAGGCCGGCCTAGAGGAGACGGGACTCCGGGCTGCAGGCGGCAGGCGGGGACCCTGGGGACGCCACGAGCGCAGAGCAAGCACAGCTCCACGGTGCGCCTGGGGCTCACAGGAAGGGGTCCACCGCCCGGGAAGCGGGAGCAGGGACCTGAACCGCCGGCCGCGCGGGGCACGAGGTGTGCAAAGCTCGCGCCTGGGGCTCAGGCCCGTCCCACCGCAGGCCGCCTCTCGCTGCGCGGCGCGGGGCTGTTTACTTAGCCACGGGTGACCTTGATGGACTTTCCGTGACTGCAGACCGGGCTGGCCCGAGCCTCGCCCCGGGCCCCGCCCACGGGGGGCGGGAGGGGCGGGGCGGGGCTGCTCTTTTGCCCCGCGGACACCCCGCGCCGCGCCGCTGGCACAGCCTGCTGCCCCGAGAGCAGCTCGCACAGCAGCGGGGCAGAGCGCCTCTCCTCGGACGCCAGGGGAGGATGGGCAGCCGGGCACACCGAGTGTCCCTGGGGGACACCTGGAGCCAGCGAGTGCACCCCGACATAGAAAGCGAGAGGCGGCGGCAGGCCTTCGACGTGGAGCGACTCACCAACCTCCTGGACAGAGGCGCCCAGAACACCGCGCTGAGGAGGGAAGTGGGTGAGAGGCCGCACCCGCTGTGTACCCACACTTTCCTCCCTCCCTCCCTTCCTTTCTTCAGTCCTGGGGATTAAATCAGGGCCTTTCCCACAGCCACACCCTCAGCCCTTTTCTTATTTTTTATTTTGAGGCAGGATCTTGCACCACCAGGCCTGGCTCCCACATGCTCTTCTTAGAGGAGTACTTTACTAACACTCCTACCTTCAAATAATTTGCCCTTGAAACTCCACTGTTAGAGACTCAGGTCTTTGGGGTAGACCTGCTGTTAACATACCACCCTTCCCTGAGTCCATGAGATGGAAGGCTAGGCTGCAGCAGAGCTAGATGCTGCTCCTGATTCCGCCACTACATCCAGCTCACAGTTCCCACCTGGGGCCTCAGTTGTCTCATCTGTAGAATGACACTGACGTCTGACTTCCCTTCCAGGTCTATGGGGCAAGTGGGTGGGAAGATGTACAAGTAAGAGAGCTCGCCGAGTCCCTAAGGGCTCTGTTCTCCTCCCCTGCAGAAAGCCTCTTCCGTAGTGACCCAGCGTTCAACCATATCCACAGCCACTTCATGACGCAGAGTGAGCGCTACGAGGCTGCCGTTCGGAAGACATTCCTCATGCACAAGATGGCCCGGCGCCTGGGCTGGCCGGAGGACGGCCTCGAGTTTGCCTACGCTTCCAGGTGCTCCCCGGGGCTGCCCCGCTAGCTAGCAGCCTGCCTGGGCTCCCTGTGAACGCGCTGTCTCCACAGGTGGTCCTCACGGGAGAGGGGAGCCCTTCCCTCCTGCACACCGCCAGGCTGAGGTCACACAGCTCTCCCCCACAGGGCCCTGTCTGAGGATGTATCTTTCGGGGTGCACAGCGTTGCCACGAAAGCCATCGAGAGCCTGGGCTCAGAAGAGCAGATTGCGAAGTGGGTCCCGCTCTGCAAAACGTACCAGATCATCACGACTTACGCACAGACAGAAATGGGGCACGGTAAGTCCGGCTGTGCGCACCGTGTTCGGGTTGTACCCTGCACCACCCCAGAGGCCCCACTCACAGCTCATAGGTTTGTATATTTAATCTGAAAACATTCCAGCAGGTAGAAGTCAGGGGTCTTGAGGGAAGGGGCACCTTTTTCTAATTTGCATAAATATGTCATATGTGCTACCACGGGGCAAATAACTCCTTGCATGCACGTGTGCACGTCCCACGCACCCACAGACAAAAGGAGAAACACCCACGCGGGTACAGCAAAGCACTGACCCCTGCTCCATGCTGTGCTAGCACCTCAGAGGCCAGGCCCACCGGGAAACTCCTGCCCAGGTAAGAACCTCGCCTTGGCCAAATGCTGACTGCCCTCCTTGATCCCAAGGGACATACCTTCAGGGCCTGGAGACTGAAGCCACCTATGACGCAGCCACCCAGGAGTTTGTAATACACAGCCCCACAAGGACTGCCACCAAGTGGTGGCCTGGAGACCGTGAGTATCTGCCCAGGCCCCTTCCATCTGCCCAAGGTGACTTCCTGTTCACCTCCTGAAATGGGTGGGCTATCAGGAGTTTCCCTGGTGAGTGGCTGGGAGGACCCCAAGGAACTTTGAAATAGATACAGGAATTGACGCCGCCTTGGGCACACGGACACACACAAGTGCGTGTGCACCACACAGTCACACATACTTGGCCCGGCTCCAGGCGTCCTCACAACCCCAAGGGCTCTCGTCTCCTGAGTTAATGATCAAGCCTGCCGCCAGTCCGAGCACAGTGCTGTGACTGCAGTTCGTGATACGGACACCTGCCCCTGCCCCTGCCCCTGCCCCTGCCCCTGCCCCTGCCCCTGCCCCTGCCCCTGCGCCTGCCTGGCTCTGAAAGTTTGTGCCACCGGCTCGCATCAGATGGCCAGCAGGTGGCGGTCACACCAAGCATCTCTGCGGCTCAGTCACTGCCAGGCTCCAAGAGGGGATTCATGGAGTCCCTGCCTTCAGCTTGAGAACTCCTTTCGGAGAACACACATGGGGCAGCTGGAAGACAGGGAATTCCAGTGCAGAAAACAAAGCAAATGCAAGGAAACCAATTAAAGCAGAAGGGGGTCAACGAGGTAAGAGACAAGCGGGGAGGAGAGGAGGAGAGACAGACAGACAGACAACCAAAACGGTGAAGAAAGGAAGCCAGCCTTTTAAATCAGGCAGACCAGGGTTCAAATCCCAGCTCCACCTCCTCTGCACGCGTGACCAGCATGTCACTCTGCTCTGAGCCTCAGTCTCCGTATCTGAAAGTGAGACTCACATACCTGCCTTGGGAGAGCTAGCAAAGACCAGCACAGGTATGGGGACCACCTGGATTTGGATGAATGGCATTGTCTGTCCATTATTCTAAGGTTAGTGACACAGTGATTCATTAATAGTTTCGGGAAGGGGCAAAATTCCTCAAAACCTTGCTCATTTCACAGTTCCCTTGCCAAATCACTGTTAGTTCTGTCTGGTCACTTGGGGGCAAGTCCTTCTCTCTGGTACCAGTGACTTTTCGAGGACTCAGAGTTGCCCATCAGGAAGCCCCAGCCCTGGAGTCTGGGTGGGGGACAGCGATGCACTGGTCTTTCTGTGACACACTTCTCATCTCACTGCCCTCAGTGGGAGAGTCAGCCACCCATGCCCTCGTCATGGCACAGCTGATCTGCTCGGGAGCCAGGCAGGGCATGCACGCATTTATGGTGCCCATCCGGAGCCTCCAGGACCACACCCCACTGCCAGGTAACCCACGCTCCCCCCTCAAGGACCTGTTCTGGGACAGGGTCCCGAGACCCCAGAGGCCCATGGGAGAAGTGGAGACATGTTTCCTTCCGGCCACGAGGGGTCCAGTCGGAGAGACTGGTGCTAATTGGCCAGGTGACCTTGAGCAAGACTCGGCATCTTCTGACCTTAGCACGCTCACCTGCAGTGCAGAGACAGTAACCCCAAGGTCGCAGGCTGCTGTGAGCTGGAATGTGCCTGTGGTCCCCGGCACGCAGCAGGCACTCGGCTGACAGGCATTCTTGTCCCCGTCTCCTAGGAATCACCGCTGGGAACATCGGGCCCAAGATGGGCTTGGAAAGTATAGACAATGGCTTCCTGCGACTGGACCACGTGCGAGTCCCTAGGGAGAACATGCTGAATCGTTTTGCACAGGTCAAGGGCCGGGGGACGGATACTTTGCCCAGGGTGCCACCAGCTCTCGGTCCTCTTCTCTGTACCCAAGTTTGGGAGAGGCTCTGGTGTCCCACTGGCCAGAGCCAAAGCCCAGCTGCAGAGCAGTGCGATCGTGGGAGGGGCACTTTGCCTCTCTGAGCCTCAGACTTCTGTGTAAACGCTCATCACCTGCCACGGGAGAGCAACTGTGGGTGTAGGGGGCAGAGCAGTCCCTGGGAGGGCAGGGGCCTGGGCCTGACCACTCAGAGCAGATCCAACCAGAATGCTGGCAGATCTGGATGCCCCAACTGTGCTGGGCTCCCCGCTTTAGTGGTAGATTATGGGGAAGTTGAGGACCAAGCAGCGGAGCAGCCATGAACCAGGACACCTGGAGACGTGGCGAGGTGGCCCTAGCAGGGGAGTGTTTCCTATTTAATGGCTGCTGTGGCCACACCTCCGTCTGCTCCGGATGAGCAGGAGGAGCGTGGAGGTACAGAGCCACAGCTGGGGAGGCAGCAGGACAGGGACTTCAGCTCCAACCCCAACCAGAGCCTGCCCTTGTTTCACACAGGTCTTGCCAGACGGCACCTACGTCAGACTTGGGACAGCGCAGAGCAACTACCTGCCCATGGTGGTGACCCGTGTGGACATTCTGTCGCGTGCAGTCCTGCCTGGCCTGCAGAAGGCCTGTGTCATCGCCACACGCTACTCTGTTGTCCGTCGCCAATCCCGGCTCCGACCCAGGTAAGGGGCACCCAAAAGCTGATCACAGCAGACGCAGCAAAGGCTCAGCCCGGCAGTGCCTGCTCCCTCACACACTGCTCTGCCAGTGCCAGGGCCGGGTACTGGAAGTGAGCAACACACACACACACACACACACACCCTGCCCAGATCTGGTCCTGTCTGGCCATGTAGGGGAGGGGTGTCTTTCTGGCTCCCTCTAACATCACCAGCCTGTAGCGATCAGTGTCTGAGGGCCTGTTTCCCGGAGGACAGGGGCACTGGGAAGAAAGTGCTGCTGCTCTTGCCCGCCTGCACCCCAGTGGTGACAGGAAGCACATGCTGGGCGAGGAGCTGCTGCCCCGAGAGGCCCCAGCTCCCACTGGCTGCGGGAGGCTTCTCACAGTGGACCCCTCCTTCGGTCCACTTCTACATGCTTGACAGTCCTGGGCAGTGAGGACACAGCAGTGGACACGGCAAACATCGTCCCTTGCTGGGGTTCCCTCCGGCCGAGTCGGCAGGTGTGACACACTTCCTACCACACAGCAAGTGGGTATGGGCAGCTTAGATCCTCCGGCGGTGCAGGGCACAACCCTTCACCCGATCCTGGGCGCCAGATGTGTTGGACTTCAGAACTTTGCAAGGGGCCGGGGATACAGCTCGTGGTACAGAGTCTGCCTGGCAAGCGCAAGGTCCTGAGTTTGATTCCGGGTTCCCCCCCCCAAAAAAGAACTTTTCAAATTTTAGTATAATATGGTGTAACATGCTATAATTTTGTAATCCTGGCCACAAGACGCAGTACCTACAAGCAACCGTGTGGACATTTCTGCAGCGAAACGTGTGGCTGTTCATGTTAGATAAGACTTCAGAAGATTGTTAACAGCCTCCTGCCATCTTTTTAATGAGTTATAAAGAACTTCCGGTGCCCAGAGCTTCCGTGGTGCTGGGGATAGGAGAAGGTGGACATGGCACGCACCAACCTTCCAGACCCTCTGCTTCTCTTCCTCCTAGTGACCCGGAGGCAAAAATCCTGGACTACCAGACCCAGCAGCAGAAAATCCTCCTTCCACTGGCCATGAGTTACGCCTTCCACTTCCACGTGGTCAGCATCTCGGAGTTCTTCCGCCGTGCCTATGACGCCATTCGGAGCAAAGACGTCAGCCTCCTGCCCGAGGTACCTGCCCTCTGTGGGGAGCGGCTGCCACAAGGAGGCTAAGGCTGTTCCCACCCCTGGGCCCTCTCCCCAGCCTTCCGGCTGGGTTCCCAGGGCACTGGTGAGCTGTCCCCTGACAAGGGAGACCCCCATACCTGGCCGCAGGGAGCTCAGCGATGCTAGAGGAGATACTTACATACAGTGTGGAGAAAACAGAACCACACTCCCTGAAGTGCATTTGAGACCACAAAAGGTCTGGGAACCAAAACTCATTTGGAATTCATTTGGTAGCATAGTGTGAGCCAGCCTGAGCTCACCTAATCTATTCTACTGAGCACAAATGCAACCGAAATAGTAATATGTTCCCTAGGCCTCCCCAAGGCCCACTGCGGGTAATATATATATATGTGTGTGTGTGTGTGTATATATGTATATGTGTGTGTGTGTGTGTATATATGTATATGTGTGTGTATATATATATACATATATATGCCTTAAATGCCCTGCTTTACCTCTCTAAAATCCAAAACCCATTCTGACTCCAAAACATCTGGCTCACAGGCCTCGGATGAAGACGGTGGACCCACATATACACTGAGACCCTCTGTCCAGGCACCGCACTGCATAAGCCCTGGTCTGATTTTTAATCTCTGTTACCCTTTCAGATGACACCGTGCAGCTTTTGCTTTCTCCCCCTCAGTGGCCCATGGGGTGGCTTTGGGGGAGTTAGGAGTTTGGGAGGCACCTTGCTGCCTTGTCTTCTCATGTTCCCATTGTCTTTTGCTTGTTTCACGCTTGGGTTTGTGGGCCCTCAGAGTGCAAAGATTTTTATGCTAGTACATATGTCTAGCATAAAAGAGAGATGTCTGCAGGGAGCCTGCTTTCCAGGGACACACAAAGGGTGTGGCTAACTGCAGCCCTTTTCCTCCCAAGACCCCATCGCCTCTGTTAATACCAAGGGGCGACACGGTGTAATGGGTCCAGCACCCGGATCTCTGGGAATGGGCCATAGTATGTTAATGACAGAAAGGTAATTGGGCATTGGCATAAACAGCAACAGCTATTTGACCCTGGAAGGTAACGTAAATCAGCAACAGTAATATCATCCAAAACAAACTGGATATTGCCATAGCATAAGAATCAAATGGCTGGGTGTGGTGGTGCACACCTGTAACCCCAGCACTCAGGAGGCTGAAGCAGGACAATCACGAGCCTGAGGCCAGCCTGGACTACATAGTGAGTTCAAGGTCAGCCTGAACTACACAGCAAGACCCTGTCTCAAAAATAAATAAATTTTAAAAAGAACAAAAAACGTACCACCCTTAACCTATGGTATAAATCCTATGACAAACTAGATACTGACATGCAGCAGAGATCTACTAAATGCAGTAACTGTACCTCCACTAATGATTAACAAAGCTTCATACTATATTATCAAAGATATAGGGGGCTGGGAACGGGAGAATGCAGAAACTTGAAGAATTAAACAATGGGGGGTGAAAAGGAGAAAACAGTGAGACAGCGGAGCCTATTATAGAGTACAAGGATTTTTTTTATCTTTTTGAGACAGGGTCTGACTATGCAGTTCAGGCTGGCCCTGAGCTCATTTTGTAGCCCAGGCTGGTCTCAAACTTGCAATGATTCTCCTGCCTCAGCCTCCCGAGTGCTAGGATTACAGACGTGCTCCACCACGCCCAGTTACCCACAGTTTTGAGCCCCCAAGGCCTGTTTGCCTCGCCCTCTAGTCCACAGGTCTGCAAGCCGCCGCCTACCCCAGAGCCCCCTGTCCCCCAGCTGTGGCAGTGCCTGCGCTGAGACCCGCCCTGGTCCTTGCGGCCGCCGGTGGGCAGGGAAGGCAGCTGGACCTCAGATCTGTGCGGATGCCGGCAACAGGGGAAGGGCTCAGGCACAGGGCCGCACACTGTCAGACGCACGGCTTCTGAGCATGACCCGAGCTGGGCCTGGCTTCTCACGCTGGGGGCGTCCACACCTGTGTCCCTGCCCACCTGAGTTCAGATTTCTTGGCAGATTTCTTTCTAGCCTGCTGATTTTTGCCACTGATCACCACTCCACCATGTTCTTTTTTTGTTTCCCAAGGACTCAAAAACTGGGAAGACTGGGGCTTCTAAGACCCAAAAACCCAAACCAGCTTGCTGCTGGCAACCTTTGTCTTAGTCTGTTCACTGCTAAAACAGAGTAGCGTTAACTAGGTGGCCTATAAACAAAGACTGGGCCTGGTGGACATGCCTGTAATCCCAGCACTCAGGAGGCTGAGGCAGGAGGATAACTGTGAGTTCAAAGCCAGCCTGGGCTACATAGTGAAACCCTGTCTTAAAAAAACAAAAAGCGAACAGCAGAAATTCATTTCTCACAGCTGTAGAGACTTCCCAGCCTCCGCCAAGCTTCCACCATCTGGTGAGGCCCTTCTTGCGCCATAACGTGGCAGAGGGCATCACAGGCAAGAGATGGCTTGAGAAGGCACTAGGCAGGGTTTGCTTTTACACAGAACCACTCCCCGATCACCACAGCACTTATCCATTCACCAGGGACTCAGGGTCCCACCTCTTAACAGTGACAAATTGCAACGCAATCACATTTCAACCTGGGTTGTGAGCGCGGCACCCACAGTCCTACTCGTGAAAGTTTCGCCCACCTGACCTGCTAGCCGGCCTCCTGACAGCAGCACTTTGCAGGTTGGGATCTCAGCATATGGATTTTGGGCAGAGTCACACCATGGTGCCGTTCCAAAATCCAAGCAGTGGGTTGACGGATGCCAGCTTTCCAGAACCCATGCCAATCTGCGTAGCCGCGGGGGGACAGCGGGCCCCAGCCGGGCAGCAGCCTGGGGAAGGCCGAGGAGACCTGGCCCGGGCGGATCTCTCACTCTTATGCGTCCCGGCTACAATGCCTGCGAGTGTGACTTGGGAGGACCTCTCCTCCTCACTTACGAAGTGCAGGCTAAGTGAACACCGCCTTGCAGAGTAGGGCTCAGCGCGCAGTGAACGGGGGTCAGCGGTGAGCACGCTGCTCCTGCGGGCTCCCCCAACACCGCCTGACCCCTCCCGTCCTTACAGCTCCACGCACTGACCACAGGCACCAAGGCCATGATGGCGGACTTCTGCACCCACGGGGTTGAGCTGTGCCGCAGGGCCTGTGGCGGACATGGCTACTCCAAGCTGAGCGGCCTGCCGTCCCTGCTCACCCAGGTGGTGGCCTCCTGCACCTATGAGGGCGAGAATACAGTGCTCTACCTACAGGTAGCCAGGTAAGGCCCAGCGTGGCCCAGGCTCACCTTAGCCCCTTGGAGGCCGCCTAAGCTTCTGCTAGGTTGGGCATCTGTCCGACGCCCACAGAGGGAGCAGGCTCGGGGAGCACTGACTGGGGCTGCCGACTCCCACAGTGCACCTCCAGCTCACCCCCTGCCCCGACCCATGGGAAAAATCGCATCTTCTGTTGTTTGAAAGTGTTCACTGGCCTCCCACTGCTCCAAGGGAAATCCCACCCTCTACACCGTGGCCTCCACCACTGTTACCATCGTTGGCATTTTGGGTTTACCTTGTTAGCTCCGCTCCCCACTGTACAGGAGATCCGTGAGGCCAGGGAATACACCTGCCTCGCTCAGCCTAATATCTGAGGCTTAGTACATAACCGACACAAAAGGCTTCAAATCAGGCATGGTGGCGCATGCCTGTAGTCCCAGCACACTGGGAGGCTGAGGCAGGAGGAGCACAAGTTCAAGCCCAACATAGACGACTCAGTGACCTAGTGAGACCCTGTCTCAAAATAAAAAGATAAAAGGAGCTGGGGCTGTAGCTCAGTGAAGAGACCCGGGTTCAACCTCCAGTACCACCAAAAGTGGGCTTGCCCAAACCCCAGCGAAAGAAAGGACTGGACAAGCCAGCCCTTCCAGCCTCCTTGCCACCTCCTGAGGCTGACAAGGCCCTTCTCTTTCATCTTCTCAAGTGACTACGCAGCAAGCACTTCCGTAGGCAAGAAGAAAGGAGCTTACTGGCCAGTAGGATATATGGCATTTATGGGTTTTTAAAAATCATACAGAAAGAATACAGTAGCACGAGGCACTCTGCCTAGCACTGTGGCAAGCGCCTCACAAATGCTCTCATTCGGTTTCACACCGGGTGAGTGTTACCCCCACCTGGAGACGGAGGCGACGCAGTCCAAGGCGGCACGTGGCTCTTGGCACTGTGCCCACATTGTTCACCTGTGTCCGGCCTCGGCTTATACAAGTCATCACAGGTCCTCAGCTCAGGAGACCTGACCCAGTCTCCAGAGGGTTCTGTGTTCAGGGAGGAAGGTGTCCGGCCCAGCTCTCCACCCTGGACTCTCAGGGTGTGCCTTGCAGCAGGGCAGTGCGGGAGGGCTCCGAGTGAGAAGGGGCCACCGGGGGAGGCTGGCGGCAGCCTGGGCCCCGGCTCCTACACAAACGTGGGAGCCCTGCTTGAGCGTGCTCACCTCTGTCTCACTGTTCCCGCCCTCACACCCCAGGTTTCTGGTGAAGAGCTACCATCAAGCATGGGAGGCTGCAGGCCCCGTATCACAGAAGCCTCTGCCTCCGTCTGTCGCATATCTTGCCCAGGTTCACCCAGCTAAGTGCCCAGCCCAGAGCACAGCCAACTTCCTCTGCCCAGAGCTCTACACCATGGCCTGGGCACACATGGCAGCCAGGTGAGCCAGCGCTGAAACGTCAGCACCCCACACACTGAGGCCTATGGAAACTCATCCATAGCTGCTGAAGTGCACTCGCATCCCCGGCCTCCGCTCCCCTGGCCATGGGTAGAGAGGGGGGACATCCCACCCATCAGCCATCGGCCACCATGATCCACATCCTGGTCACAGTCGTAGAAGGATATCACTTCCCTGGCCAGTGAGACGAAGTTTTCAAATCTTAGCTTCCTATGGTAATTTGCAATACGATAAATGTGCCCATAGTATAGCGTACTCCAAATGTATTGGTATCAAATACATACTAGTAAGTAAACCAATACCTGTGAGTTTGAAATATTCCATAATCTAAAAATAACTTTCAAAAAAACTGGCTCTGAGCCGGGCACAGTGGCACATGCCTGTAATCCCAGCACTCAGGAGGCTGAGGCGAGATCACTGTGAGTTTGAGGCCAGCCTGGGCTACATAGTGAGTTCAGGGCCAGTCTGAACTACGCAGCAAGACCTTGTCAAAAACAAAAAAACAAAAAAAACGGCTATGCCACAGAATAGAACTTATTCCCAGAGTCTGCTAGACTTGGGGAAGAAGGCAAACCCCAGAATTCATCCATTCCCTCATTTAACAAGTAATGTCAAGAACCTAGTCTGGGAGCAGACACGAACGATCAAACATGCTAGGAGCTGGGCTTAACAAGAAGCCCCAGCCTATGGGCATCATTTTAGAAAGACAGATGCAACTACATAAAAAGGAGGCTTCGGAACTCTGCCCCAAACTTAAAACACCAAAAACCATTTTCACTATATAAGAAGAGGTCTTATATCCCAACTTGTGGTCCTAGGGATGACTCATAGTTATTTAGAAATTACAAGCAACTTGAGACATCTATTTACTTCACAAATACTTACATGTTTACAATATGCGGGGCGCTGTCCTAAGAGGAAGGGATCAGTCAGTAAACCAGTCTGATAAAACCCCCAAAGCTAACATTTCAGTTGGGGGAGGTGGAGAGGGGAAATAAGACTGGTGGGAAATCCCAGCCCTCGGTAGGCTGAGGTAGGAGGATCGTTGCGAGTTCGAGGCCAGCCTCGGCTATAAAGCGAGCTCAAGGCCAGCCTAAACTACATAGCAAGATACTGTCTCAAAAAGACTGGTGGGACATTAAAATGCCATTTTCTGTCCTTGCTTCGAACCCAGTGTGACATCTGCTTATCTACTCCCTGACAAGGCAAAATAAATATTGCTTAATAAACAGTTCGGTTTACACTCAAATTCTAAGTCATGGATGGACAAGCAGGGACCAGAAAATACAAGAGATTAAAGGTTAATTGACTACCTTAGCAGTTTGGAGGTCAAGAATTAAGTGCCTTAGGTAGAACACACAGCAGCCTGGGTGCCCAGAGGCCTCACCAGCCTTTAAACAAATAACCATTCTCGCTCAGGCCTTAGGAAGCCACCCAACAGAAGGGCCGGAAAACCCTGGCTATCAGGATGAAGTGTGCACTAGAGGGAGGGTCAGCTCCTGGCCTGGGGCTTTAACACACGGTGGTAAAGAATAAATCTGAAGTCTGGCTCGTTCCTTACTGGCATCCACCTCTCCGGGCCTCCACTTTCCTTGGTGTAAGTTGGCGCTGCCCGCCCTTAAAGACGTAATGTTTATCAAGCATGTAGCTCTATCCCACCTGCGTGAGCAGTACATAGGATCACTTGTTACTCAGGGACACGCGGCCCATCCGCCAGCTTGGACACACAAAAGCGGAATCTTTTCTCTTTGGCTCTCAGGCTCACAGAGGGCTCAGTGCGTCATCTGCAGATGCTCATACAATCCGGGGCCGACCGGCACGAGGCCTGGAACCAGACGAGCGTCCTCCTCCTCCAGGCTGCCAAGGTGAGCTGCGGTGAGCTGGCGGCCTGCTGAGCTATGGGGGGACCTGCTCTGCCACCCAGGCAGGCTGCCCTGCTGGGAAAAGCCAAGCTCTGCCGTTGTTCCCCAGCCCTGCTCTGCAGCCGCTGCCCTCATTTCTCGGCCAAGGCTTTAGTCCAAGGTATTTTAATTAAAGGACTTAACTCCAAAGCAATCTTGCTGGCAGCTCTTAGGGGAAAAGGTAATGAGGCAGTGTTATTGGATTTGCTTCAGGTTGTTCAAACATTTCCTCGCAGATAGAAAAGCAGGTCATGTCTCCCCTTAGCCCTAGAAGCAATTCTTGGATGTCTGACTCAATTTGCGCTATGTTTTGTGTTGGTGCATAATTGACAGTCGGTTGGCAAATATTTAGGCGCTGGGCTGGATGTTCACTAGTACAGTGAGTGTTCACTGTCCACACCCAGCCACAGTCCAGGAAGCCGGGACAGGGAAACGTGGTTGCTAGGGGACCCCAGGGGCAGGCGCGTCTCTGCTTACTGCCCAGAAGAGCCTCAAAGGATAAGACGTCCAGGATGGTTGAAAGGAGCTTGCACAAGGGTAGGGCGGCAGCTTTGGAGAGAAAGGTTTCCAAGCAAAGGCAGCAGCAGGTACAAAGGTGCTTGGGAGGCAGCTCCTGTCCTCCCAAGCAAGCACTTAAGGAGGAAAACTGAAGCAAGGAAAAAGAAGGGCAGGCAGGGGAGAAGAGAGGCGGGATCTGGAACCTTCTGCACCCCTGTGAGCGGCTGGGGTCTGGCTTTTCTTGCAGTGGGAAGGCTTTGCCAGGTTTAAGTCTGGGGCGTGAAAGTGATCAGCATCTCACTCTAGAAGAAGCACGTAAGCTGCGCGGAGGCCTGGACTGGGGCGGGAGGCCAGGCAGAAGGAAGCAGCAGCAGCCAGCAAGGACTCAGGGTGGTGCCCACCTGAGCTCACAGGGAACGTGGGGCGAAGTGCGTAGGCGCAGAGACACCGAGGGGCAGAAGGAAGGGACAGGCCTGGAGAGTCACGGAGGGGGAAGAGGCGAGGATGGATCACGAGTTCAAGCCCAGCTTGGGCAATTTAGTGAAACATTGTCTCAAAATTAAAAAGTGGGCCGGGGAGGCAGCTGAGCGCTAAAGCCCTGGGTTCAAGCCCCAGTACCACAGAGGGAAAAGCCTCCTGAGTTTAGGTAGCTGGGACGTTGGCCCTGCCAACAATGGAAAAGCTAAAACCATCACTATAATCCTCAGGCCTCAGGCCCAGAAGATGACAGCCTCAGACCAGAGAGCCCTGAAAGAGGCCCTGCTAGGGCAGGACTGCTCAGGCCAGCCGGCCAGGAGTGCCACTTGGAGACCCAGCCCTCGCCACACCCACTGGTGCTGGCTTAACCCTGCAACGAGGCTTCCATCAGTCGCAGGCCGGGCACCCGCTCCCCGCTGAGCTTATGCCCATCCATGCGCAGGGCACAAGGAGCCCCTCGCCCACTCTTCCTTGGTGTGTTCCCAACCTCCGCCTTGCCTTCATGTGTTCACCTGCCCCCGCCAGGGAGCCTCGCAGGGTCTCCTTCCAAAGGGTGAGCACGAGCGCCCAGGGCGGGGCGAAGCCTCCGGTCCTCCGGCAGGCAGCCTGGGTGTGACGAGCGGCCGGGGGGGAGCCTCAAGCGCCGCACACCGGGCGGAAGCTAAGCCGCCTCTGGGAGAAGAGGGAGTCCCTGGTGGCTGTGCCAGCGGCGCCCGAGCCGTTTCCCAGGTCACAGAGGCAGGGCGGTGTCTTCTGTAAGCCGCAGCGCCCGACAGAGAGGCTGCACCTGGGTCGGAGGGGGGCTGTGCTGGCCCCCGCTCCGTCACCCTACGCCCTCGAGCAGCCCTCGCCCCACCCAGCCTTGCCTTCCTAGTCTGTGAAGCAAGGGGCGCGGAATTGCCGCTCCGGCTGCGCCACACTGTGGCCTCTAAGCTCGCCCCCAGCAGGAGAAGCGTCAGTCCCCACAAACGCGGGCGCTTGGGACTGTGTGGCCTCCGTCCCTGCCGGCTTTCCTAGCACAGGCAGCAGCTAGGAGTACAGCTGGATCCCGTTTCATCCACTTACCACCGCGTGACCTTGGACAAAGAACTTAGTGTCTCAGGGCCTGGGTCTCTTCATCTGAGAAAGGGACCTAATAGCACCTGCCTTGTAGGATCCTGGTGAAGACTGAGTTAAGATGCCTAACCCCGAAGAGGCCGCTCGCAGGAAGGACACACCTTCCCCCAGGCGTGGAGGCCGCCGCCTTCTCTCTGCTGCCCAGCAGCTTTCCATAGCCAAAGCCAGGGCCCGGGGGCAGCTCTCCCATCCTCCACCCCTCCCCCCCTCCGCCCAGAGACGCGACAGTCCGCGGCACGGCCTTCGGGTTTGAGCAGAGAAAGCAGGGCTTCGGCACAAAGCGGGGGTCTCAGTTCTGCCGGCCTGGACCCAGGCTGAGCACCAAAGGCTGTCTGGGCCAGCGGGGCCAGCACCGCGCACATGCTCCTCTCCCGCAGCTGGACCCCTCGGACCCAGCACAGCTGGGAGGCTTCGGGTGCACTGACACGTGGGGCTGTCAGTAGCTGTACGAGGCCTCCCCGGGAACGGCAGGGTCTCTCCAAATAAGAGACCTGACCACTCACCACCCTGCCGAAGACTACGGTCACTTCCTACCTCCACAGGCTGAAATCCTGACCAGATCCTTCACAGCTCTTTATCAACCTGGGCGCCACTCAGGTGCACCCTAACCACCCCTCCTGCCACAGCCTCCTCATCTGTCCTTACGCCCCAGGGCTTGGGCCTCATAAAAATGCCTTCCGCTGCCAGAGTGCTGCCTTGCAAATAAAGTTCCCCCACCTCAGAAGACCTTTCCTCTATCCCTGTGCCCCTGCGTGAGCTCTTTTGAATGCCAAGTCACCCTAGAGGCCAGTGATGGCGGACCTCTCTGAGGTTTCCATGATTCAGACAGCCTGCTCGGGCACCTGGGCCATAGGTTCGCCACTGCGCTAGGCCTTGCTGCTGAAAGTCAGCCCCAGCAGTGCAGGCTTCACGGAGGAGCTCGTGAGAAGTGCAGTGGCAGGCCCTACCTTGCCCAGGTGATCTGTATGCATAAAAATTTGAGAAGCACTTCTTTCTTTTCTTTTTGAGACAAGGTCTTACTCTGTAGTTCAGACTGGTTTTAAACTCACTCTGTATCCCAGGCTGGCCTCAAACTCATGGCAATCCTCCTACCTCAGCCTCCCGAATGCTGGGATTACAGGTGTGCCCCACCATGCCTGGCCGAGAAGCCTCTCTCTCTCTCTCTCTCTCTCTCTTTACCTGATAAAACAAGTATGTGCATTGGTGTTACACAGAGGGGAAATATTCAAAAATTTGTAACAACCAATAGGACAAGAGCGCAGGGCCCTGAAGGCTCTAGCTGAGTCAGGCATTCATCCTTCAGTTGTTGGGCTGAGGGGGGAAGGAGGCCTTGGGGGAAGGAGCCCATCTGTCAGGGGGCTCTCACTGGGTTGATGGCATGGATATTCACAACCAGTGCGAAATTATTATTTTAACAACAGACAGAGCCAGAGAATTGCCTCTGGGTTAAATAATAGCAGTGCGTGCCCAGGAGTTTAGCTCGCTAGGATAAATTTTACATTCACTTGAAGCCCTACTTTCCCACCCCATGGTGCATGTGTGTGTGTGCGTGTGTGTGTGTGTGTGTGTGTGTATACACACGCGTGCACACACCACTGCTTTGACAGGGTAGACAATAGCTGTATTTTTGATAAAAATGGTGCTGCCCCGTGTGCCCCCTATATACTTTCTCTCCATTTTCAAATCTACTTGAAACAGGCTGGGGATTTAGCTCAACGGCACAGCGCCTGCCTGGCAAGCATGTGGTCGTGAGTTCAATTCCCGGTACCAGAAAAAAAAAAAAAAAATTAAAAAAAAAAAAAACCTACTTGAAACTTCCCAAGCAAAACAAGGAAACCAAAGGCCAATTCCTGAACCCACCAGCCCTCAGCACACGCGCATGTGCACACACACACACGCACGCACACACACACACACACACCAAAGGAAAAGCTGAGTCAGCCCCCGAGGGAGCTGAAAGACAGGATGGCTGCTCGTCAGCGCACTGAGGAACCCGTGGCTGCAGCAGGTGACTCCAGCAAGCTTGCCCAGCTCCCGGGGTGACTCGTGGAGCTGGACTCAGAACTCGGTGGCTCATCACCTTTGTGTCTTTGTAGGCCCACTGCTACTATCTCACCGTGAAGAGTTTTAAGGAGGCTCTGGAGAAGCTAGACAACGAGCCAGCGATTCAGCAAGTGCTCAAACGCCTCTGCGACCTCTTCGCCTTACACGGTATCTTGACCGACTCGGGCAACTTTCTTTACGACGGCTTTCTGTCTGGCCCCCAAGTGGACATGGTACGAACAGCCTACCTGGACCTGCTCCCCCTGATCCGGTGAGTGGCTGGGCCGTCAAACCATGCGAGCCTTCAGGGAGCAACCCTAGACCCTGCGACACTTAAGAGTAACGTTCTCTCAACTGAGTTCTTCAACACTGTCCAGGAAAGAGAACAGACCTGCAGAATATGATAACACGAAGCTCGCTCCCTGTGAACAGTGGGTGTTGGTAATAGTTTCAACCATAGCTAGCATTTAAGGAGGACACAGTACCAGGTCCTGTGCCAGAAACTTTTACATGCATCATCTCCTTCAGTCCTTGTAGTCCTCTTAGTTGGACCTAAGCTCTGTATTTTACTGAGAAGAAAATTTAGGCTTATGGGAATTAACTTGCTCAGAACTGCACCATTACCCAGAAGAGCAGTTGAATGCAACCTCAAGCCTGTCTGTCCCGAGCACGTGCCCTTAACCTGCATATTAAGGTTGGAGCATTACTTATTTTATGCGTATCCCTGTCTATGTGAATGCACTTAAGGAAATTCTTACCAAGTTCAGTAGGCTTACTTTAATATTCCTTTGGATTGAAGATGAATTCTTGTTTTGTTTTGTTCTGTTTTGTTTTGTTTTTCTTCCAGTACCAGGAATCAAACTTACAACCTTGTGCTTGCTGGGCAGGCGCTTTGCCGCTGAGCTAAATCCCCAGCCCCTCAAGATGAATTCTTTAACTCAGTAATTCATATACTGACTTATAAAGCAACCATACAAATACTTTAAAATATGCCATGAATGTAGCATAGTTTAGAGCCATGAAATACTAATGCAATATTTTCATCCTGTTATTTTATACATAATTTAAATATTGCTTTAAAAAACATATCAAAACCAAAGCCCACGATGCTAAGAGTAACAGAAATTAAAACAATACAAATTATTTACTATTACTGATAAATTTTAAAAATAGGCTAACTCAAGAACACAACCTTTTTAAGATCGGGCAACACAACCTTTTCAACGGGCAAAAATACAATGCCTTTTTGAAGTGGTGGAAGTGGAGTGACTTTTCCTGTAGAACCTCTGGTGGTTCTCTTTATCAGCAATATTAAGAGACTAAAAAGGAAAAAAATTGAAATTTTTATGAAAACAAGATTTTCGTGACAAATATATCATCAAATTATCTTTATATCTAACAGTATATATTATATGCCATTTATGACCACATTTAAGCACCTAACAGACAGTCGGTGGCTGGTAAATATTTGTTCAATTAAATTATCAAAAAGAGTTAAAAATACACCTGACTTGCTGGGCATGGTGGCACACACCTGTAATCCCAGAACTCAGGAGGCTGAGGCAGGAGGATTGTTGTGAGTTTGAGACTGGCCTGGGCTACAAAGTGAGCTCAAGGTCAGCCTGAACTGCATAGCAAGACCCTGTCTCAAAAAGACAAAAAAAAAATTATAAATATATATATATACACCTGACACAATGGTGCCCCAGGTATTAAACCTGCCCTACTACAGAGACTACACAGTGGAATCTTTAGAACATGGTGAAGTAGTATACAATTCGAGCTTAAGCCTATCTAACTATCTGACGCTTGCTATTTTAAAAGCGTATGAGCAGAGTGATGTTCTAACCCTGGCTGGCAATGACAAGAAAATACTAAAGATCACCTTAACACCTCATACACATGGCATTTTTCTTAAACTTGCAAACAGCAGTTGTAAGTGTCTGCTGGGCTCCAGAGGACTTAGAGAATGCAAGACAAGACAGGCAGCACCGACACAAGCCGCCCCCTTTACCTGTGTCCGGCCCACAGCTGATTCACTCACACGGTGATGTGGGGGGGGCCCGACTCCTGCGGGTGCTCAGGAATGGAACAGACCCCATGCTTTTAGTGCTCCTGTGAACAGTCCCCTGCCTTGGCTGTCATTGTTTCCTTCAGATTTCCAGGGTGACAAATGAAGGGCAGGACACTCTTCTAAGTGACACCAAGAGCCAGCTCTTTGTAGTGTTGATAAGCTGGCCCCAGTGGGGATTTTTTTTTTTTTTTTGTCTTTTTGAGACAGGGTCTCGCTATGCCATTCAGGCTGGCGTTAAGCTCACTCTGTAGCCCAGCTGGTCTCGAACTCATAACAATCCTCCTGCCTCAGCCTCCTGAGTGCTGGGATTATAGGCCTGCGCCACCACGCTCAGCCCCCAGCAGGGATTTTCAGTGGTGCTAAGTGTCAGTTGGGGGACTTCAAGGTAAAGACGGCAGGTGACACATACGTGTTTAGTTTTGTTCCTTCCCGGACGTGCAGGGGCTTGGCTGACAGGTCCCAGCCAGGAGCTCTGGAGCTCCAGGAGGAAGCAGCACTGTGTACCTCTGGCAGTGGGGGCAGAGGTGAGAAGACAGGTGGGTTCAAAGTCCAGCTCCACAGAAACTGGATGTGCATTAGACTTTCCTTGACCCTGCTGTGATGAAAGGGTAAACAGAGGGTCAGTGGACCAGGGAACATAGACCTGGTCCGTATAAACAAGAGTAAGCCGGGTGAGGGGGCTGGGGATTTAGCTCAGTGGCAAAGCACCTGCCTGATAAGCGCAAGGTCGTGAGTTTGGTTCCCGGTACCAGAGAAAAACCAAAAAAAAAAAAGAGTAAGCCGGGTGGGATGGCAGACGCCTGTAATCCCAGCACTCGGGATGCTGAGGCAGGAGGATCATTTTGACTTTGAGGCCAGCCCAGGCTACAAAGTGAACTCAAGGCCAGCCTGAACTGCATAGCAAGATCCTGTCAAAAAAAAAGGCGGGGGAGAGAACTGGCAGGAAGAAGAAAACTTAAAAAAAAAGTAGTATCTTCAAAAGTTAAGAGATACTACAAACATCATCTGAAAAACAAGTTAAGGCTGAATGTAGTGGCACACATCTGTAGTCCCAGCCACTTGGGAGGCTGAGGCAGGAGGATTGCTGGGAGTTTGATGTCAGCCTAGGCTACATAGTGAGTTCAAGGCCAGTCTGAATTACATAGCAAGACTCTATCTTCAAAAAGCCAAACAAAACAAAACAACTACACAAATTAAGAACCAGAATGCCATTATTTTAAAATAATCATAGGGGAGCCAGGCGTGATGGCGCACGCCTGTAATCCTAGCACTCAGGAGGCTGAGGCAGGAGGATCGCTGGAGTTCAAGGCCAGCCTGGGCTACAAAGTGAGCTCAAGGCCAGCCTGAACTGCATAGCCAGAACCTGTTTCAAAAAGACAAAAAATAAAAAATAAAATAAAATAATCATAGGAGGGGCTGGGGATTTAGCGCAGCAGCACAGCACCTGCCTGGCAAGCACAAGGTCATGAGTTCAATTCCTGGTACAGGAAAAAACAAAAAAATAAAATAAAATAATCATAGGGAAAAAAACGCTCTTTGAAATTAAAAAAAAAAAAGAAAATTTTAAAAATTCAATTTAAGGATTGAAAGATGAAGCTAGAGAAAACTCATGGAAAGAAAGCAAAAAGACAAAAACAAAAAAAAAAAAACAAGATTTTTAAAAAGTAAGAGCACCTATCCTAGCTGTTCATCGTCTGAAAAACAAGTCTGGAAAAGAAAACAGAAAACAGAAGGGGCAAATCATTAATAACTGAAGAAAACATCCCCAAATGAAAGATACACGGTTCAGATTTTAAAAGGCCATCGTACCTTTTAAATAAGACAAGAAGGGCTAGACACACACTACACACACGAAGCACACATCCACATGCAAAGTGAGCCAAATAGATGCTACGTGCACCGGGAGAAAAGGGCGGGCATGAGGACCACGGGGGAGGCGGCCGCTTGGCGGGCAGGTCAGCAGGCCCTCCGGAGGGAGGACTTGGGAGAGACTGAGGGTCAGGGCAGGGGGCCAGGAGGAGCCGCCTGGCTGCCAGGGGAGAAGCCTCCAGGCGGAGCGCAAGCACAAACCTGGGCAGCGTGTGCTTGGCACATGCATCCAGAGGACAAAGACGAGGCCACAGAACGGGGGACGGGCGACCAAGATGGAGAGTGAGGCCAGAAGCCAGAGGCCAGAGGGTGCACGTGACGGACGACAGAGTGACCCTGCACAGGCTTAAAACATGGGCTTTTACTTTATGTAACAAGGGAAGGGTTCGCCGGCCCTGGTGGCGCATGCCTATAATCCCAGCACTCGGGAGGCTGAGGCAGGAGGATCGCTGTGAGTTCGAGGCCAGCCTGGGCTACAGAGTGAGCTCAAGGCCAGCCTGAACTGCATAGTGAGACCCTGTCTCAAAAAGGCAAAACAAGGGGGGCGGTAAGCACAGCACAGTTACAAACTGAAAGAATCTGATGTATACTTTTAAAGAATAACTTAAACTACCATGTCAAGTATGAAGAGAAAGGGCTGGCAGGGTAACGCAACGGTAGGTCACTTATTTGGTATTTGCCGACAGACTAGACAAATGGGGGCAAGACAAAGACAAAGCAAGGCTATGGCGCCTGGCTGGGAAGGCCAGGAGGGCAGGAAAAGACCAATAGTTTGGTTTTGGACATGTTACTTTTAGAAAGCCAAGTGCAGGATGTCGGCAAGCAGGGGAAGACACAGGAGAGGGAACGTGCGGAAATTCCCTCATGGCTTCTCCTTTACCAGGAAAACGGATGCAAGAGATGGTGGAGAGGTAGACAGTATAGGCTTGGGGATGATAGAGAACATATGAAATCATCACCTAAGAGAATGAGAGAGTAAATGAACTGAAGCAATGTAAGAGGACTGCTGCCAGGCGTGGTGGTGCACACCTGTAATCCCAACACTCGGGAGGCTGAGGCAGGAGGATCGCCACAAGTTCGAGGCCAGCATGGGCTACATAGTGAATTCAAGTCTAGCCTGACCTACACAGTGAGACCCTATCTCAAAAGCAAAACAAAACAAACAAAAGAAAAAATCAAGATGATTACTATACAGCAATTGGACCCACTGAACCCTAAGGACATCAGTTTAGACTGGTTTTTCCAGCCTTACATAACTACGAGGATATGTGAGCGTGTGTGTGCGCGCGTGTGTGTCTGAGGGGTGAATATAATGGGCCATGGGATTTCAGCTGGCTAACTAGAGAAGTGAGACCACGTGGGGCAGAGGGACACTGAACAGGTGATGGGGCTTATCATAAGGAGCCATCAAGAAAGGATTAGTCAGGGACAATGTACAGGCATCAGAATGTTACCACTGCATTTTTCTGTCTTTTTGAGACAGTCTCACTTTGTAATTCAGGCTGGCCTTGAACTATGTAGCCCAGGCTGGCCTTGAACTGGAGGCGATCCAATCCTCCTGCCTCAGCCTCCCGAGTACTGGGATTACAGGCATGGGGCACCACACCCAGCAACACTGCATTTTGATCTGGCCAAAATTACAATTTATACTAGAAGGAAGGAAGGCCCAAGGAGGAAGCACGGGGTCGGGAGAGGCAGAAGCTGAAGAGAGGGCGCTAGAAGCAAAACCTTGTCTTTTGTCACGGAGAGGCAAGAGATAGCCTCTAAGAGACACTAAGCAGAAAGTGCCTTTGGAAGTAACACAAACAAGGTATTTACGGACATTCAGGTAAAGACCAAAATATCAACTGAAAGACTGAAACTGCCTCTGGGGAGAAGGAAATGGAAGAAAGAATCTGGACTATGCTGTTATTCAAATAGCCAGCCTTAACGAACTACTTGAATATGTAGATATCTGATTAAAAGTAAAAATAAAGATGAATTATTTGAAAAGTGACTAATGACGCAACTTCTCATCGGTGTTTGGGTTAATTAGATTCATGAGGACAACCTAAAACATGAAATCATCTCCCGTGCAGGAAGGATGCTGTCTTGTTAACCGACGCTTTTGACTTCACCGATCAGTGTTTAAATTCTGCACTCGGCTGCTATGATGGAAATGTCTATGAACGTTTGTTCCAGTGGGCTCAGATGTCACCAAGCAATAATTCTCAGGTAACTGAGTGTACTGCATTATAAATTATATAAGAGAACAGAAAACAAACGTTAAATACACGTCTGTGTTTTCATGCTAACGGATTTCCATTAGGTTGAAAATCACTTGGCAGGGCGTATCTGTTTAACACAGTTTTAGAGACTATATAAAAGAAACCAGGAGTGGGGGTGTGGCCTGGCAGGAACTGTAGTCAGCAAAATGCATTGCTCAGAACTTAGTAAAGGGAATTAAAAAGAAGGCTGGTGCTACATCATGGCTTGTTATAACCCAGAGAATATACATATAGGGGCAAACTGGGTTTTAAGTAATGAAAAACAAGAAGTCAGGGTGGTGACTTAACCATCTTTCAGCCTTTAAAGTCAGTTTTATATAGATAAAGTCGGGTATTTGGAGGTGACAGGAAGCTCAAAGGCTGTCTTGCTCAGACCTGACTGCCTTTCCTGTACACAATCTCGGGAGCAAAGAAGGCTGCTGCATTGCCATTGGTAGCCAGGAAAGCCTCATGCAATAATTACAAGGGTGATAGAGACATGACCCCCAGGTGCTCTAGGACAGAATTCCAGGACGCTGTGTCATAACAGCAAGAAGAGAGGGAAGACTCACCAGGCGTGGTGGCGCATACCTGCAATCCCAGCATTTGGGAGGCTGAGGCAGGAGGGTTGCTGTCAGTTCAAGGCCAGCCTGGGCCAGCCAGCGTGAACTGCATAGTGAAACCCTGTCTCAAAAAGACCGGAAAAAAAAAAAAAAAAAAAAAAGAAGAAGAAAGGGAAGACTCATAAAATCCCAACCCTTTAGGGCAGGCCCAGACTCTGCCTAGTCGTACTGGGAAGTTACAAATGTCAACAGATACATAATTGAAGAAATAAACCTTGTATTTGGGGAACCAACATTTAATAGCAGATTTGAAACAGATGATCACAACAAAGGGTATAGAGGTACACAACAGACCTCTTCCTTTTCCTTCTTTTTTCTTTGCAGGGCTAGATATTTTATAATGAAAGGTTAAACTGACTTTTCTATTTCTTCGGTCTAATTTCAGAGAAGGTGTCTTAACAACTCATCAAATTGACAACTCTCAGGCGTGTGTTCACACTTAGCACAGTGTCAGACTTGCTTTCACAATCTGTATTCTGTGATACCTCACAGCTTAATTTAACCTGTTTATCTAAAATGATAATAGAACCAGTTATCCCCAGGATGGTTGTCAGAGAGAAGGCCAGTAGACTTCAGTCCTCCCCACCCCCAGGAACATATCCTTTTAACTCAACAAGGAAATATAAGCAACTAACCTAAAGAAGGCATACATTTAGGGCGAGGTGTGGTGGCACATGCCTGTAATTCCGGCACTCAGGAGGCTGAGGGAGGAGGATCCCAACAAGCTCAAGGCCAGCCTGGGCCACATTGTGAGTTCAAGGCCAGCCTGGGCTACACAGTGAGATTCTCTCTCAAAAAAACAAATGAAGCATACATTTACTACTTATCTGTTTACTAGTCTGTTTGTTTTTATTTTCTTTTGTTTCGTCTTCTTTAGTTTTTTGACACAGGGCCTCCCCATGTAGCTCAAGCTGGCTTTGAACTCACTATGTAGCACAGGCTGGCCTCCAACTCACAGTGATCCTCCTATCTTGGCCTCCTGAGTGCTGGGACCGATTGCAGGCGTGCACACCCAGCGACTAGCCTATCTCTAGCACGATACTTTTCCTAATGATGAGATCGCTCTCCTTTTCATGTTTAAATGCTGGCATTTAAATAGCGTGGCCTTCCCAGTGCAGCCTGCTGCTCAGGATCCACAGGTGCACGTGTGCCCTTTGGTGCTCCCCAGAACCAGCCCACTGTGCGCCCTGGGGAAATGCTGCCGCACACCTCTCAGACCTGTTTTACTGACCCCCCCGCAAACATTCCAGTGCTCTGGGTCTTGCGGCCACTGAAGAATGCAGGGTCCCTAGTTTCTCATCTTTACTCCTGAAGACCCTCCTCTGGATCTCTAAGCGCAGGCTTATCCCAGTGAGGCCTGTCTCACGCCGCAAGGGGTCTGGTAAACCTCCTCCTGCCCTCTTTCCTCCTCTCCTTCCACCTGACCGGACCGTCAGCCGGGTGGAGTCTTCCCCTTCCCACCATCGGGATCTGTCACAGAGTAGACGACTGCTTTTATGAACCAAGGAACGCGGTCTTATGACCTACACAGACACAAAGGGACCCACTGCACACAAACGCTGCAGACAAATGCCTGTCGTCCAGCCTCACACTACCTTGTGAACGGGTGGCAGGGGCCCCATGGCTACTGCACAAACATTTAGTAATGTAAGGCCATAAATCACCTTGTTTCCTGGGAGTCAGAATGACCCTCAGTTGATGGCTCATCATGGCCGCATAATCTTAACACACTTCTGGCTCCTTTAGAGACCACCAAAGCATAACCGTGTTCTTTTCTGATCTACTGGAGATAATTCTGAAGCTCCAATAGAGATAGTTTTCATTTGCACAGAGCAAAAAGGCACATTACACGTCTTTTAAATAAATGACAACAGCAGCTATGTAGAATTATGCCCTGTGGACAGAAAAGAACAAATGGGAATACCTGCTGTTTTCCTACCAAAGTCAAGGCTGTGCTGAACTAAATGTCAGAGTCACGAGTCTCTCTTCTGCCTGGGGCAGGCTATGCTGAGCTTTATCCCTGGATAGAAACCTGTGCCTTCCTGGGCTTACTCCAGCCGCAGTGTCTGCCTTGGGCTGTCTGCCTGATCTGGATGTTAGGTGGAGCAAGCTTCTCCGAAGACAACTGCAAAAGACATTTCCCCTCCCTACGTGCTGTCATCCCTAGGTACCTCCCTGTTGACATATGAAGTGCAAGGACCGGTGGTGATCATTTCCAATCAAGAATCCTATTTCTCACAACATTCAGTTGGGTTTGTTTTGATTTTTTTGTGCTGGGAACTGAATTTAGGATCTTGCACTTGCCAGGCAGGCGCTTTTGCCACTGAGCTATATCCCCAGCCCCCTAACATGCAGTTGTAAATGTTCACCCAAGTAGTAGTCACGTGTTAAACACGTCCACTGATTCATTCACTCAAGTCATTCAATAACTACAGACTCAGCACATGCTATGCGGACAGAAACTGTTTTAGGTATTAAAGACACAGGGGGAAATAGGGGCCACGTTGCCAGGTGTGATGGTGCGTGCCTGTGATCCCAGCACTCGGGAGCCTAAGGCAGGAGGGGTGCTGTGTGTTTGAGGTCAGCCTGTACTACATAGAGAGAACTTGTCTCAAAAAAAAAAAAAAAAAAAAAACAGAAAAAAAAAAGTTGTAGGCCATGTGTTCAAGGAGTTTACAGTTTTAGTGTAATCAGGGCAAAAAGTCAATAAAAAAGAAAATCATATAAAAGATGAGGTCAGGGCTATAAAGGAAGGAATCCAGACAATGCATGAGGAAACGACTGGGAGAGCCAGGCATGGTGGCGCACACCTGCAATCCCTGCACTTGGGAGGCTGAGTTGGAGGCCAGCCTGGGCTACATAGTGAGTTCAAGGCCAGCCTGCACTACATAGTGAGATCTGACCTCAAAAAAAGAGAAAATGATGGGGAAAAGGATTCTGAGATAGAATCCTGCTTATTTGATGCCACTTTCTGCCTCCTTGCTCTGTGGCTCATGTTCAGTTTCAAAGACCCTTAGAGAGCCAAATCTTTTCTTTGTATTAAAATTCCAAAGGCAAAGATGTGTGTTTTCTTTTAATCAGCCACCTGCATCCACAATTTAAAATCCGCATGAGAAAAGATAGACGCCCTTTGGAAAAATGTTTCTCCATATGTTCACACAAAATGAATTTTAAAAATAATTTGAGAAATTAAAGATCTTATGTAATGTTCCTTTTTTGAAGCTAAACACTTAATTGGAAAGCAAATGTCTTTAATCCTGGCACACTTATTCCATTTTTTTTTTATTTGACTTATTCCATCTTAATAATATACTTTCTAAAACACAGGAGAAGCCTGCCTATGAGAAATATATCCGACCATTAATACAAAGTCGGGGATCCAAGCTATGAAATAAGCAACATCATTCCAGGACCCAGCAACACCACGATCTTACATAAAATTAATACTTAAAATTATGTATGTTTATGTAATTTCAAGTCATCTTTTAGACACTGGCTGAATATCTGTGAAACAGTATCTGTGATTTAATTCAAAATAAAGCATAACAAGAAAAGGGGGGCATGAGTAATTCTTGAATTTGGTCCGTTGTGAGGTACCCAAGGGTCCGTCACTTCTCCCTGCACGCTCTACCACACAGCTGCACCCAGCCCACTGTCTTTAGCAGCTGCTTCAGTTCCTGAGGGTACACTCTGCCCTCCAGCCCACACTCCTAATGATCTGCACAAAACAAGAGCCTAAGAACGCAACTGTGTATCAGTTTGTTACAAAATCCAGTCTTAACAGTGAAAAGGATTTAAACTTTCACTGAAAGAGGTACAATTGTATCAAATTAGCTAAATATATCCAACCACCTCTCTCATATAATTTCCAATTACTCTGCTAGATAAAACACAGAAAATTAAATGTCACTTAGCTGTAATCTCAGCACTCGGGAGGCAGGAGGATCGCTGTGAGTTCGAGGCCAGCCTGGGCTACAAGTGAGCTCACGGCCAGCTTGAACTGCACAGTAAGACCCTCAAAAAAAAGACAACCACACAAAAAATTAAAGGTCACTTGACGAATAAACTGCAGAGAAAAAGAAACTCAGCTGCCTACTTTTCTTAATTTACTGAAAACAACAGTCCTGTAGTTGTTAATAATTAGTGCATCTGAAAATGTGGATCAAAAACAAACATCTCCAGAAAGACTGACAAGCAAGAGAACTCGTAAGTTTCCTAACTTCCATCAGCTTGAAGCAACTAGAAATATTCCTATTTCCACAGCTGTTTTTAACTCAAATAATTTTACTTCACATTGATCTCTCCTAGTTCAATGACACTTACCTGGCTTTGGGTTTTGTTGTTGCTGTTATTTTGTCTAAGCGACCATCCATCAGTTACAAATAGGGGTCAGTTTTCTCAAATACTAACGTAGTACTAGTGTGTACACTGATTTATTGAAACCACAGCAACCTGTTAATCATAGTAAGGGACCTTAGTTTGAAGATGGTGAAAATGGGGCAATTACGGATTTCTATATGTGGGCAATGTGTCAAATTTTTTTTTTTTTTTTTGGTACCAGGAATCAAACTCAGGACCTTGCACTTGCCAGGCAGGTGCTTATGCCACTGAGCTATATTCCCGGCAATGTGTCAAATCTTACAGTAAATTTTCAGAGACACAGACAAAAGCAGACACAAATAGAAGTTCTCATCTTTCACAGAGAGCATCTCAGAATATTCCCAGAGAGAAAAGGTTAACAGTATGACCCACCTGGCCCGGGGCACACAGCCTGAGCTCTACTCTTCCCTTAAAAAACAGGGAAAAAGCTATGACTTCCTTTTTATGTAAGGTATTCTATTAAGTTAGGAAGTCTCACCATAATTAACACGACCGTTCCTGTGAGTAACGTCCAAGAAATAGAATAAAATGAACTATAAGACTACAGTGAAAGAAATAAAAGTACACATATCTCTCCCACTGTTCCAGAGTCTTCCTTCACAGCAGTTCACTTCTTCTCTTCAGAAATTAACTTAGCTCTGATAATAACATACACTGGGTCACCACAGTGTATGAGAATAAAATGGCTACAGCCATTTGGTCCTTGTGCTTATTAGCACAAAGCTGAAATAATAAGTCATATTCAGAGCTATGACAATTTAAGGAAAACTTGTAATCTTTTTTTTTTTTTTTTGTTTTTTTTCCAGTACTAGGAATCGAACTCGCGACCTTGCGCTTGCCAGGCAGGCGCTGTGTAGCTGAGCTAAATCCCCAGCCCCTTGTAATCTTTAATGTAAGTCCCATTAGAAAAATTTTTCAGACTTTATGTGCACCACTCAAGTGTATTTTTTTTTTTTTTTTTTTTTTGGTACCGAGAATCAAACTCAGGACCTTGCACTTGCCAGGCAGGCATTTATGCCACTGAGCCCTGTGTTCACCACTCAAATATGCAGCCTTTTAGACAAAATTTTATCCACTCCTGCTTCCATGAAACAGAGTACCTATAAACCACAATGCAAGGTCCTACCGAGTCCTCGCAGACCAACTACAACAGTGCTAAGAACAGCATAGGTAGGGACATAAACAATGTATACTTTACAAGAGCAGAATGATTTTCTCCCTTAAGTAATAATAACAACCAATAAATACAAGCCTAATTTTCATATTTCTTATTTATTAGGTTTTTTTCTTTCCTGGTAAACAGTACATTTGGGAATTATACCGCACCAGGCGTAAGTAGAGAGATTTCTACCACAGGGATATTTTGTATTCAGAATCCAATATAAATATTTCTAGTCAGACATTTCCATGGCTACAGATATTTGGTTGCTTGATTTATATGCATAGAAAGAAACAGTTGTCATAACTGTAAAAAGCAGTACTTAACAAGTACCTTTAAATGATTGGAACAGTTTTCCCTTAATATTACAATACTGCTTATTGGTCTGGAAACAAGGTCACCCTACATGATATTTTGAATTTTCTCAAAGGCATCATGAGGTCTCTGCTTACTCTTTCATTCCTGTATTTTTAGCCTTCTAGTGAAGTTAAGGACCATTTTTTCACAAATCATTTTAGCACTGTAATTAAGGACAAGCTCTGTTACGGGTAGATTATATACCATAATAATCTTTCAGACTTCTTTTTATAAAAAAGGTATCTGGAGACTGAACAGGCACATGCATACTCGGAGTGAAGGAAACATGGACGAGTCTGCTAAAGCACAAAACTCCTTTCTGGTCCTCAGTGCTCTCAAATAAATACAAATAGTAAAAGGAAAAGCCCACACTCTGATGGGAAAAATAAAAAGCAAAAGCCCAGTCTCTTCCATTTCCTGGAGAGTCGCTCCCAGGAAGGCCCAGGCCGGCGGTCAGTCGTCTGTCTTCCGCGCCAGCCTGCAGAAAGTCCAGTTGTGCTCCACTGTGTTCTCATTGGCCCGCTCGCTCATGTGATGCACCCGAGTGTTGCGGATCGTGAAGCCTTGCTTCGTGATGTACTCCATCAGGTTGACCCGGAGAGAGACCTCCTGGTGATAATCACACGGTCCAAACGTGAAGGACACCTGGCAGTCTCTGGTGTCCATCATGTGCTTGTTCCACTTGGTGAAATAATTTGAGATGCCTTCGAGTAAGGAATGGACCTTGGTGGTGATGGTTAACTGGGTTATGATGACGGCCACTGGGTTGGAGTACTTAGAGAGCTTCCGAGTGCTGGAGAGCTCCACAACCTCTTCGAAAGTATCCACAGGATACAAAGGCTTGGGGTCATTGAGACACTGAATCAAGGGCTCAATCTGGTAAAAATCTGCTTCCTTCCGCAGCAGATCAAATTCCTTAAAATCCAAGGGTAAAGTCAACTCTGAAGTTCTTAAGAAGTTGAGGACATATCGGAAAAGAGGTCCATCTCTATCAATGAAGTAATTGCCTTGAGGGTCGCGCGCCGTGGGGAAGTCCCCTCCAAACATAGCTCCAAGCATGGAGTCTGGGTACCGCGTCAGTGTGGTGAGAGACGTTGTGTACAGGTGTCCACCTACATTTAGCGTGACTGGGTCAGTCATCTGAAGTTAAAAAAAATCAGTCATGAAACTTTTAAAATCCTAACTTTGACGTATCAAGAAAAGCAACAGTAACAAGCAAAGCACAAGATTCCTTCAAGCTCTATGATATTTGACAATCCTACAAAGGAAAACTTTCAGCGATAAGCCCACCAAGATGAGGGATATAACATCCGTTTTCAATAGAAAAAATAAAGATAAATCTAATCCTTTAAGGCTTTATCTAAGAATAGAGGGCGTGGCTTCCGGAGCCACAGAGTTTCAGCTCAGTATATGCAGTTTTCAGGTTAGCACGGGAAGAAAAAAACCCATATTAAAATAGATTCATTTAAGGTTTTTTTCTGATTTTTTAAAAGAAAGACGTGCAGTTCCCTCAATTAAATTGAACATAAGATAAAATAAAAATGAGCTGATGATATAAAGACATCTACTTTTAATATTCTTTGAGTTTCCCCCTCAGTGAAGGAGAACAAACCATGCAATTTATTTTAAAAATAAAAATTTGTGCAGACATAATCTTGTAAACTTTTTTACAGATATAAAAGTTTCAAATACTAAATTAAAAGTTCTGTCAGGGCTGGGATATAGCTCAGTGGCACAAGCACCTGCCTGGCAAGCGCAAGGTCCTGAGTTCAATTCCCAGTACCAAAAACAAAACAAAACAAAAAACAACAAAAACAGTTCAGTCAACACATCCTAGAGACGAAAACATCACATAGTCAAAGGCTAGTAGTAGCTTTCACATTTCATAATCTGATAATGTATTCACTTTTGTAACTTTAATATTGCAATCTGGACTTTAATTTTGAGAAGCAAGCCTCTCTAATATACCTTTGATTTTAGAAACTTTATTTAAGAAAAAGTAAAAAGAGAGTCTTCATGTACTAGAAAAAGCAAAATATTTCTCACTAGAGAGAGTGAAAAGTAGGGAAAGACTAGCACACACAAGAAGTGCAAGGGGGAGAACAGGCACCTCTGCCACCACTGGTCGCCTAAATGCAAGAGAAACTCCCCATTCCACCAGCAAGGGACCGTTCAGTACCACCACTCCACGAGAGCAGACTTTCAGAGTAACACTGAAGACTGAAAAATCATGCTACCTTTCAAAGAAGTCATTATAAAAATTTGGAGTCAGTACTGAGGCTGCTTCAGTTAAAACATCAAATAAAAAAAATCCTCCCCAAAAGAAAGGAGTTGCACGAATTCCTAATTTTGATCTTACAAGATACAACTGAGAAAATGAAAACGAGAAAACATAAAGGAAAAAAGACACAAAAACGAGAAAACAAAGGAAAAGAGACACAAAAGTAACTTGCCAGCCTTCAAAGTGCAGCTGCAAGCCCACTCACCATATAGCCCCAGTCTCCATTATCCATCTGTCCCAGCGCAGCGCCTCCGGGAGCCCAGGTTCCAGGGAAACTTTACGGGGAGAAAAACAGACATAGCAGCATACGTAACTAGGAAGAGAGAAGGAGAGCCTCCCATGCAGCGGAGCGGCCCAACCCCTGGAAAAACTGCTTTTGTTCGTTCAACTAAAACCTACTATGGGAACGCTGGGCAGAGGCCTGGGAAGGAAAGCAACCCCCTCCCCAGCGACACGCGCTCCATCCCGACTTCTGCAGCACATCAGGAGCACAGGAACAAGTATTCTGTACCTGGAGGAGGAGGAAAGAGCCTAGGAAGTGAACCAGCCATTCAGATCCTCTCTTCTGAAAAGCCAGTTTGTTATGATTAACTCCACAGCCTTATACTGGTACAAACTTTTTTTTTTTTTTTTTTTTTTTGAGACAGGGTCTTACTATGTAGTTTAGGCTGGCTCTCAACTCATTACATAGCAGCCCAAGCTGGCCTGAAACTTGGAGCAATCCTTCTGCCTCAGTCTCCTGAGTGCTGGGACCACAGGTGTGGGCCACAATGCCCAGCTATTGGTATAAACTTATGACAGTCTTTATCAAAAGGGTCAGTTAAGAGAGAGAAAGCCAGGCATGGTGGCACACTCCTGTAATACCAGCACTGTGGGAGGCTGAGGCAGGAGGATTCTAAGGTGGAGCTCAACTCAGTGACTTAGCAAGACCCTATCTCAAAATAAAAAGGACAGAGCCTATAGCTCAGGGACAAGGCCCTGGATTCCATCCTAAGTACCATGAAAGAGAGACAGAGGAAGGAAAACTTTTTTTATGAGCATTTCAGCTGTATAAGTTAAACACCTCAGTAAAAGCATTCAAAATCATAAATTCCCCAAGATACTACTACCATTTTCCAAAAGTATTTATTTTAGAATATTAAAAAATAATTATACTTTTAATAATGAGGTATTTATCTCTGTGCAATAATCAAAGAAAAGAGAAAATACTCTAAATGACAAACTGTAAGGGCACAATTTGGGACCAAAAAAATCTTTCAGACTTGGTTTTGAGCAAATCAGCCAGCGCTCAGAGAGAAACCCAGCCCTAGGACGCTGATAAACACCCATACGCTAAGGATGCCAGCTTGGATTTATTTTTATCTACAATTCAAGAGCACTTAAACACTTTCCCAGCCACTGAATTGCCTTAGTCAGCTCCCTCTCACACACTTCATTCCCCAAATCAACCTGAAAAGCAAACTGCAGAGCAAATTTCAAAAGTGCTGGCAAGAGATGGTAAGAAACATAGACTTTTCGGTATTCATCCAGGAAAAGCACCGGCTTTTTTATGCGGTCTTTGAACAGACCCACTTTTCCCACTTTTAGAGGAATCTGGCACACAATTCCCCGCACAAGCACTAGCTACAGAAGATCACAAAGGCTCTTTCTCAAAAGGTCACTCAGGCATGGAGGGAACATTTGCATAGCACAGCAGGGCTGAAATCAGAGCCTGAAGCATCTATTTCTCCACCTTGCAAATTCTTCAAATCAAACAAGCTAAAATTGTGGAGCAGAAGATGTGCAGTCGATTTCTATTCTTTACCCTCAGCAGCTGCATACAGATAGGCCTCTGCACGCTACAGCGTAGGAAATGGAACAAATGTCAAATTCAGGGCCGACCCTGCTCTGACGTGCTTCACAAACAGTATCTAAAGCAAACAGAACCAGAAATGAGTTTTACCAATTTGTCTTGCCAGCATCTGATTCAATTACTGTTAACAATAAATCAGTCACTGGGCGATTTAAAAGGCCAGTCATCCAAAAGCCCCGGTAAGATGTTCCTCGTTGGCATTTTCCTGTCACCCAAAGCATTCTGTCAACAGTTAAAATATTTACCCATTCTGCACATATTTATTTTAGGTCAGCTACAGGGGGAAGAAGGAGGAGGTGCACAGGAATAGGAAAAGTGCGATCCTCGGCCCACAGAGATCCCAATCTACAAAGCAAGGCACCATGCAACACCCCAGTACAGAACCGAACCCCAAGTGCCAACAGCAGGTGGACCGGACCAACGCAGCGTCCAGGAGAGACAGACCAGAAATCCAAAAGGGAGGCTGGAGGACTTCACGGTCAAGCTCAGTCCAAAGGAAACGCGTAAACCCAAGAAAAGGCTCCAAAGTGCAGAAACAATCTCAACAGGGACATGAGGGTGTATTCCCTCCACCCCACAGTACTCCTCAGACCACAAGCAGGGAGCACTGCCCCCTGCAGAGGTATAACGGAGGAACCGGGAGGGTTAAATGACTTCCTCCAGGTCCACAGCGGGGAAGTGGGGAAGGCGCTGAACAAGAACCTGCATTTTCTGACACTGGGTCTAGATCTTTCCCCTCCTAGGGTAGAAACTGAAGGAACAAAATCTAGGAAAACAAAAAATGAAAAGTATTAAACTGACTCATAGGGGCTGGGGATTTAGCTCAGCGGCAAAAGCGCCTGCCTGGCAAGCACAAGGTCGTGAGTTCGTTTCCCGGTACCGGAGAAAAACCAAAAAATAAAAAAATAAAAAAAAAAATAAACTGACTCATTATAGATACCTTTTAATCCTATCTGCCTGATAGTGATTTATTTACAATTTGACAGTAACTCAGCCTAACTAAGTTGTAAAGGTCTGTAAAAAATCCCCTGGGGCTATAGAAAATGGTAGGAACCTGCCCACTAGGGTGAATAATGTCTGCTGTGCTCAAGATCATAAGTGACAAAAAAACACAAATCTATGAATATCCAAATATCCAAACAGTTAAATGAGAAATGAAAGACCAAAGACAAGGAAAAAAAAAACAGACGTCAAAATAACAGCTGCGGGGCTGGGGATTTAGCTCAGCGGCAAAGCGCCTGCCTGGCAAGCGCAAGGTCGTGAGTTCGGTTCCCGGTACCGGAGAAAAACCAAAAAAAAAAAAAAAAAACAAAAACAGCGGCATGCCTATAATCCCAGCACTCAGGAAGCTGAAGCAGGAGGACTGTAATGAATTCAAGGCCAGTCTGGACTACATAGTGAGTTCCAGGTCCAGCCTGAGATACACAGCAAGGCCTTATCTCAAAAAACAAACAAAAACCAGCTAGTATTATGAATGTCTGTCCACTACTAATTTATTTATGTATTTATTTATGTATTTATTTATGTATTTATTTATGTATTTATTTGCTTGTAGTACTGGGTATCGAACCCAGGGTCTTTACATTGAGATACATGTCTAGCCAACCCTTTTATTTGGAAAGAAGGCCTTGGTAAATCACTAAGTTGCCCAGGTTGGGTTTGAACTTGCAATTCTGCCTCAGCATCCCCGGGGGCTGGAATTACAGACATACACCACCATGCCTGGCTAGGATAACTTCTTGAGCAGTCCTGCAAAGAAATTTAGATGATGCCCCTGAACTTGTTCCACAGCAAAGGCCAAGGTTCAGGGATACAGACGTCATGAAATCTTAAGCCTAATAATTCAAGAAAGCAATCATGGGAATGTCTGTCAGCTCACGCTTCCTAAAGCACCCCAAAGCCTTCACACTTCTACCTGTGTAAGATACTTCAACATAAACTGAAGCAAAGTCGGTGTGCGTCACTTCCAATAACAATGGCTAAACTGTCCAAATAATCAAATTATTCATTAAAGGCTTAAGGGGGAAAATAGCATTGATGAAATCAGTTAAGTTTTATCTCTATTCCTTCCTTGTAAACATCCGCTCCGTCTCTGTGTGGCGATGCCCAGATACATGCTACAGGACAGGAAATGGAACGAGAGCTGGATTCTGAACCGTGAGGAACATTCTCAGAGACAATACAGATGAATGAAGTAAAACATAAACCCGAAAAAGCATTTCCAGAATAGCTTCCAGCTCTCCTACTAAATCACTCTCCAGAGCTGCTAACAATTAGAAAAGGGTTCATTTGCTGTTCATCTTCTCTCTCTTCTGGCACAGTCGCCAGCGGAGGGCTGAACGAGTCCACAGGACTGGTACAGGAAGGACTTTCAAATGGGTGTTAAGCCGGTGAAGGTAAAGAAATATTTAATCCTTGCAAAATTTTGTAATTTTGTTACAAATAAAGATTACCAGGGCAACAAAACATTTCTGTTTTATAGTGACCTTCCTGAATTGGGTGTGGTGGTGCCTAGCTCTAATCCCAGTATTCAGGAAGCTGGGGTAGGAGGGTTACTGCAGCTAGTTCGAGGCCAGCCTGGGCTACACAGTGAGTTCAAGGCCAGCCTGGACTACATAGCAAGACACTGTCTCAAAAAACCACAAAAAAAAAATTACTTTCCTTACTTAAGACTGTTTACAAAGACAGTGAATACAACTATGCACAATTGTGAAGTTTAAAGAAAATAAGTAAAATGAGTTCACCTGAAAAGATCTGCACTTTGATGCAAACAAAATTCTTATTCCAAAGACTACAAAGTAGCACTGAGAGTTCACCTGTGCTTCAGTATCAAAGGTCATTGTAACTAATGTATACATTCTGAAGATGTAATGTTAGCAGGTAATTAAGGTGCCTCCGCCCCCACAGCAGAACTGAATTTACAAGTTTATGAGCTACACTGAACTAATTTAACACAAATATTCTGGGTGTATCATTTGTGCTACACACTGAGAAACCCCCCAAGGCAAAAGTCCCACTTCTTTGTAACAACCTATACATTGCAATATAAATGCAGAGAAATAATAATAAAAATCTCTAACTACAGCTTCCCCAGAGTCTCCGGCTAGCACTTTAAAATGCTTTTCTGCTGAAACCTTTGTGTCTGGCATTCTGAAAAGAGGACTCAATAAATCCTCTCCATCTATACTTACCTTCAAGACTGCCTTTGTAGTGAGTTTCTCTGTTCTTAAAACGTGGGAGTTTGAAAGTGAAATACTTTTTTATAGTAACTAGCTCAGCGACATCTAAAGAAGTCTTTCAGGTTAACATCCACATACAGGCCAGTGCAAGTAGCCAGGCCTACAAGGATAATCTGATTATGTTAGACTGTCCCTCCCTAACTAAACCACTGCAAAATGGAGTTTTTTAAAGCAATTCTTTTCT